GTATTTGTTGTTTTGTCACAGATGGTTTTCAACAGATTGAGGTAAAGAATATCAATTCCAAAAAGAAAAGAAAAAAGAAATAGAAATAACAAATGATCCAGCCATCCCATTATCTAGTATATACCCAAAGGAACTGATGTTGATATAGAAATGATCACAAAACCTAAAATATAGAATCAACCTAGTTGTCTATCAATGGATGAATGAATAAGAAAAATATCGTACACAAAATGAAGTATAATTCTGTCATAAAAGAATGAAATTTTGTCAACCAGAATGAACTCGAAAGTATATTAATTAAATCAGGCAAAGAAAGAAAAATATCACATGTTCCCTCCTGCATGTGGAAACCAAAGATTGATTTCAAAGAAAGGAGAAAATAGTGGTTACCAGAACCAGAAAGAGGGTAGAGAAGGTGGGAGTGGTGGTCAGTAGGTACAAAAGTGCAAACAGGAAGAATAATTTCTTATGTTCTATAGAAAAGTAGTTAACTGGCTGGCCACAATTTATAGAATACTTCAAAACAACCGGTAAATTTTAAGTATTTCTAGCAAAATAAATGATTTATGTCTGAGGTGAATAAACAATTACCCTAATCATTACATAGCTCTATCCCACAATATGAACAAATACCATGTCAAAAAATAAAAATATTTGAAAAATTTAAGCAAAAAAAAGTCCTATAAAAATAAAAGCATACATTATATCCACAGAATGGAAAATCTGTTATTATTTAATATTGTGACTTTATTCAATATTTTTAAAACATCAACTTCCCTCTAAAGTGAAGTACAGGTTCAGTGCAATTCCAATCAAAATTCCACCAGGACAGTTTGTAAACATGGATCAACTTGTTGATTCTAAAATATATACGGACAGCCAAGGAAACTATAATAGACAAAGCAATTTTGAAATCACTATTTTCAAGACTTATTATAAAGCTGTAGCACTCAAGAAATGGTACTGGATAAGCGACAGACAAACAGAATCAACTGATTAGAACAGAGAACACACAAGTAAATCCAAAGCTATTTGAATTTTTTAAATAAAAATATAAGGTCAGTTTACTGGAGACAAGACAGAATTTTCAACAAATAAAAGGTCCTACAATAAGATGATACGTTTTTAAAATAAATATCTACAACTATCCTCTACAAGATGACATGCTTTCAATAAACTAGGAAAAAGCATGAGGAAAAACATATACTGCCAACAGACAAAGTTATCAATACAATTATATTCAAGCATTTATAACATTATGAAAGGCATATAGGATACATCCCCAATTTACAATGACAAATATTTAAAATACATTATTCTAAAAAAGAAAATTTGTGGCATGTTAGATGCTAATAAGTACATTTAAACTATAAAAACTAATTCATCTTCTTTTATATGCAAATTTTAAAGGGATGTAGAAAAATTGTGGCCTTAAAGAACAGGATGTTTTTCACTTATACAAAATAATTTTATTACTAATTTCCTTCCAGTATTTTTGAAGGACCATGGATGAAAACAATACAAACAGGGAATGTGATTTACTCATCTTTACATCCCTAGAATCTAATACCAGCTAGGCACAGTAGAAAACTCAATACAGTGTAAAACTGAAGGCAAAGGAAGAAAAATTTAAAGAGATATAGTAAATAATTTACTAGGTATAGCACTTTTCTATACTTGCTAGAAATAATTATCATAAACTTAGCTTAATCATAAATTTATTGTCTTGCAGTTTTCTAGGTCACATATGTGGTATCTGTCTCAAAGTAGGCTAAGACCAAGGAGTAGGAGTGGAGTGATTTTTTTTCTGGAGGGTGTAAGGAAGAATCTGCCTCAACACTACCTTAAAGAGGCCAAATCATACTGTGGATTATCTTCACAGACAGCAACAAGGGATTGAGTCCTTCGTACATGCCATTCTTCTGACTCTCTTTTTTCTTTCTTATTTATAAGAACCCATGTGATTTGATTAGCCCACTGACATAATCTAAAATAATGCCATTTTAAGATCAGTTGATTAGCAATTTTTTTAACTGAAACTCTAATTCTCTTTTATCATGTAAAATGACAAATCCACAGATTTTAGGGATTAGTATATGTACCCCCTGGGAGACATCGCTCTGACTTTCCAACTGGCTTTTCTGAAAACTATTTAAAAATAAAAAGTTACCTACTGGGTGCTTTTCAAATTGTAAAGATAGTAATACAAGTAACAGAATATATTCTGATATATAATCCTTTATCTGAAAGAGTTGAAAGCTATACAGATAGGATATTATGATCCACTCTAATACTCCGTACATTAATTGGATTGGTAAATAAAACTTCATATTAATGCTATCATTTTTCAACAATAAATAATTCTGGACCATTAGAACTTTCAAGCGCAATGCTTTTAACTGAAAAAGCAGATCAAACAGCTTCTATTCTGTCACATACTGGGGTGACTATTTTATAAGACCATTATAGCAAGAAAAGAAATGAATGCTCCACATGAAGCCAAAGCACATTTAACTAAGTAACAATAAAAATAGCTTTATTTACTATTTCTTCAACTGAAAAAGTAACTTCAATGATGAAAAATTTTGTGTCAATATTTTTACTATGAAATTATTTTTGCCTATATTAAAATTTAACTGTTTTAAGACAAAAATTCTTTATTTTCAAATTTGTATTTTATTACTATCAGTTTTACTTTTTGGTCAGCTGAAAATCTAGATAAAATAATGTATTAATAATAAAATCAGCATTTAAACTAAAATTATAAGGTTGGCCAAATAGCTCAGTGGACTAAAGTGCCTCCTTAGGCAGAGCACAGAGGCTGAGGTTCGATCCCCAGCATGCTGTGCCAGCCCCACCCCTGGGGTGGGCTGAGACAGGGATTGATACTGGGTGTGGTGGTCCACACCTATAATCCCAGAACTTGGGAGGCTGAAAACAGAATCACTAAGAGTCTGATCTGTGTAGTGATACCTGGTAGACCCTGAAGACCCTGTACCTAATGCATTAAAAAAATAAAAAATTAACTAAAAATTATAGTATGTCAATGTTCAGAAATAATTCATGCTCATAAATGCAATGTAGATGTGAAATAGCAAAGGAAGATTTTATAAACATTAGTCAAAAAATGAATGTGAGATAAAACATTTTTCTTAATGAAAATTAAATCATGCCATACACATTGACATATATTTAAATGTAATATATATAATTCTATTTCACAGAATATTGTTATATACTATAAATATACAAAATATAAAAGTTAGATCCTTAAATGAGGAAAACACCATTGTACACAGTTCAATGTATAAAAAGAAAACTAGTATTTATAAAAATAACTTTGGTCAATCAAGTACAACTTTTTTATATACAACAAAGTAGTCTATCAAATAACAAGAAACTACATGTGATATAAATTGTTTTGTGAAAAATAGAAAAAAATCATTTCTGAAGCTTATCTCCTCTAAAGTTAGTAAATAAAAAGATAAACACATACACGCTCAACACACAGAAGTCAATGATGTCTATATAGGCTTTACCAAATCTATTTTATGAAAAAAACATACAAAGTAAAGCTAGAAGCATACACTAGAAAATATGTCACAAATAACTGACAAGTTACTCCACAGAAGAAAACCAAATCATTATACGTATTAATATAGCCTCACATTCGACATTGGTTTGTTCACTATAGAGCCTTGAATTTATCTGTATAAATACTAACTCTATAAGGAATAAATTAGTTTATGTAGAGCTCAAAAATTTAATTTCCTCTTGAATTCAATTTTTTGTTGTCCTACTACCAGGAGTACTAACAAGATAAACTGAAACTGCATGTTTACAAAAGTATATACTAAAAACTAAAAGCTATTCTGGCCCCAAATTATATAATATGAACATCTAAAATATATGTAGTTGCAATACCAGAAAGAAAGGAAGACAAAGAGCAAAAGGAGAATACTAACAATCAGAATAGCCAACGATGGTGCATCAATTAAGCCTAAGTGTATAATGTAATCTTTCAAGCAATTACAAAACAATAAGATGAATGAATACTAGGCTAGAGGAGAATATAAAATAGAGAAACATACATGTTCAATGTTAAGGCAAAAAAGAAAAAGAAACACAAACAGGGCATGTGCAAATTAAACAGCAAAATGCCCTATTTCAAAACTTACCATTAAATACAAGCGAAGTAAAAACAAAAATTATAATGGAGATGGTCAAAATAGTTTCAATAGAGAAGCAGAACAAAATTACAAGCAGCATTTACAAAATTTGAAATAGCCCAATTGTCTTTCAGTATTTTTTGTCTTTCAATATTTGAATGCAGAGTCAAATTTCCTATAATCATATAAAAGACTAATCAACAAATATTACTCAATACTTAACCACATAGATACATTTAAAAATATTGTACTAATAAGACACAATTGGTGGGTGATTCAGTTTTCATAAGTGAGAGCTGCTTTAGTGATAGAAATCAGATTCGTAGCAAGGGTAGGGATAAATAAAGGCAATAGAGTAAACTTTGGACTACACAAATATTTTACCTTCTTGATTCAAGTGGCAAATAGGTGATACATTACTTTGAGAAATACTGTTGAGCTTTTAATTTAAAGTGAGGAAATGTACTGTATTCCAAGTAAATCATAAACAACTGCAAAACAGAATTAAATTAGAACTCAAGTTGAGGATATAGTTCGGTGGCACAGTGCCTGCCTGGCAAGTGCAGGGTCCTAAGTTTAACTGCTGGTACCAAAAAAAAAAAAATCAAAATCAATAAACTCCATTAGAAATGAATAAAAACACTCAACTTCAGAAACTAAATAACAACATACACTACAGACAGTAATAAAAGGTGATTACATTAATTTTTAAAAACATTTTTTAATTTGGATAGCTCAAACATATGTGAACACTAAACAGTAACTTACTCTTCCACCAAAAATGCATACACTGTGTATATATCCATGCATATACATAAATAAAGCAATTACCAATAGAAGCTGAACGCATTTGTCGCATGTGAGTTTCTATGACTGAAGGATCTCGAGAGCTATAACTTCCCAATTCAGGATAAAAGCTGGAGCCAATGTCATCTGGGGGGTTGTGTCTCCCTTGTGGATAATTCTTGGCTATTCTAGGGTCCCAGTGTTCTAACACTGGATGGTTCCAATGTATGTATTTACCATCAAATTGTGGATTTCCATACCAACTGTAATAAAATACATGCAAAAAATAGTTCAGAGGTGGCAGGTCTTCAACGTTCAGTTCAGAGGCTTTGGAAGGTTTCATAGTGACTTCAACACTTTTTAAATTCTTGGTATTAGTTTCACTCTTGATTCTGCCGCTCTTTTGCAAATCAAGTTTCTTTCCCAAATGAATAGTTTGTTGATGAAGTTCTGGAAGAAGGTCAAGTCCAAAAGGAGCTCCAAAAGTAGCCGTATTTGGTCTCAGCATTTTTAAACTCATCATCAGAGAAAAAATAAATAGAATAAAAAGGGACAAAATGATGCAAGTCCTTCTCCGAAATTTTGCCATGATGACATACTTTAAATTCCAAAACAGTACATGTTCTCCTGTAATTTATTGAAAAAGGTAATTAGCAGGTTGCATCAATAATGTATTCCAATGTCCTCAAAATGGAAAGTAAACTGCTTAATTATGAGATTTAAAATTACTAAAATGTATTACATTAACTATATCATCAAATACTGATGTTTGCCAAAGAATCTACACATAGCTACACTGAATGGCAGTACTGATTTGGAAACACCAGCACCTGCATGCCAATTACACTTAGATGAAATATATACATATATATTATTACATATATATAAAATACATACATATATACATTTATATGTATTTTAAATAGTAGATTAAAAAAATACTCAGACATTAGATATTCTGACAACTACCAAAATGCTATGAGTTGCATGTGTCCTCCAAAATGGGTTGGAAACATAATTCCTAATTCCCTACTGTTGAGGGACTGAGTTAAGGGAAAATGTTCAGGCCATGAAGGTTCCATTCTTCAAGAAAAATTAACAGTACTACAGCTGGAGAGCACTACTTGCTATTTTCTGCTCTTCCACCATGCATAACTCCTGTTCTTCAGACAATGGAGCATTAAGATACCAGATTAAAAATAAAAAGCAGACCTCACCCAACAGCTGGTCCTGCTAATGCCTTGATTTTGGACTTTGTAACCCTCCAAAGAATGTGAAATAAATCTGTTTCTTATAACTTACCTAGTTTTAGGTTAAAAGCAGAATAAAATAGACTAAAACCCAAAATAACCATAAAAGCAATACTAAACAAAAGAAAGAAATTTCTGATTAATATACAACAGAATCTCCTGAGAGGCTGCAATGAGGGCACAAGACTCACTGCAGTGACATTCTGTTTAAAAATTAATCTTACTTATTTATGAAGAACATGATTAAATGCTGAAAGACAAAACATACATACATATACATACATACACATTTATGTACATATACATATTTACACACATATGTACAGACTATCATAATGTATATAATCAGTCCTCCATAACTCTAAGTAATTAATCTATGCATTTAATTAATATCACATGGAAAATATTTGGGAAAAAAACTGTTATCTACAGTGAATGTATATAGATATATTTTTGTCACTAATTCCCTACAAAATACAACTACATAGCATTTATAATGCATTAGTTAGTAATCCAGAGAGGATTTAAAGTGTATAGGAATAAATATTCACGTTATATTCAAAAACTACACCATTTTACACAAAAAGTTTAAGCATGTATGGATTTTGGTATCCACAGGAGTTTGTGGAATCCCCTACACAGGTACACAGGGACAAGTTCACATAGAATACAATGTAACATTTAAATAAATTTGAATACCTTTGAATATCGTGGTACCTCAGTTCATGAACTTAATTTATTCTACAATTTTGGGTTTTGTGTTTGTATGTGAAAAACACACAAACATGTTTGGCCATGTTTGTCACAACTGTTTGATACAATATCCAAACAAAAACAAAATTTTGCTAAATGCTTCTTTTTTTGCAAACAAAAGCATTCATAAACCATGGTACTATGCATGTATATAGTGATAGGCAAACATGATAAAATTTTTAGGAAAAACAAATATTGGATTATTTCTATTCACAACATTACTAAAGTCTTTCTTTATAAATTAAAAAGTCAAAAAAACCCACTAGTAAATTAGAAAGCAGGAATTATTAACATAAAATCTGCTTATTTCTGAAAGGCCAATTCATAGTCTAATACAGCAATGCGTAACTCCAGAAAGTTACTCATTTCTATGTGTGGAACACAGCAGGCCAGTTTGCTAGCAAAAAATGAAACAAACTGTATAGCTATTTGGTTCTGTACCTACAACTTATTGTCCTGAAATTTCTAAGTTACTATAACAATAATAAATCCTCGTTTTTGCCTTAAAAAATGAACTTTTGGCTTGGAAACAGCTCAGTAGAAAAAGTGCTTGCCTGGCAAGCACAAGGTCCTGAGTTCAAATCCTCTTACCACTAAGAAAAAAAAAAGAACTTTTAATAAGATATGAAGCAGAAAAATAAAGTATAGGAGAAAAAATAAACCTAAACATCTATGATACATATAGTTATCTACAGCTGACAAAATATTCCCTTTATCTTCTCACTATGGAGTATAATACTTCATAAAGAAAAGCTTAGGGAAAATATTTCATCAGGAAATAACTGTACTGAACGTGAGGATAATAGAAGCAAAAGCCACTGGATCTAGAAATTAAGCGACTAAGTTGAGATACTGATTTCAGTTGAGTGGTAAAATACATGACAGACTCAAGATATGTAACAGAAAGAACACTGACTTTGAAATCTGAAAATGTTTAAAATCATCCATGAAGACCTTAAAAACTGCTTATCAATTCTGTCTGCTGCCACATTGCTACGCGAATGATCCAAAAACATGTTTATGAAAGAAGATATAAAACGGTAGTATTTAATCATACAGTAAATATTACTTAGATTTAAAATAGATGAGAATATAGGAAACAACACCAAATTTTTATTTTTTTTTTTATAGACTACCTTCAAATTCATTCACTGGAACAAAAAGACCTAACTGTGAATTTATAGTGGCTACCTTCCTTTTTTTTTTGTTTTTTGGAATTTTTGTTTTGTTGTTTTTTGCCTGTCAGTGTCATCTTTGAAGCTGGTCCCTTTCTCTTCTTTATACATTAGTTTATCTACAAATGATTCACTGCCTCCATTCCCAATTCCACATCCCAATTAATAATATTAAAGTCATTTCTATCAAAAAGGAACCTGGTCACTGTGATTAAAAATTATTCTCGGGTCAGGAATATAGCTCAGTAGCATAAGCAGTGACCTGACAAAAGCAAAGTAATGAGTTTGATTCCCAGTACAGAAAAAAAAAAAAAAGTTATTCTGCAGTTAAAATGCCTGAGCTCCAATTCTTGCAGTAACTGAAAGCGACTTCATTAAACTGCATTTTTTTCCTTCACTGTAAAATGAGTCAGCTTGGAGAGGGAAATTAAAATTTTAAATAAAACACTGCCCATGATGCCCGCCAAGAGACATACGGAGAAGGCCTGATAACAGAACATTTCTTCCTTTGTGTAACTCCTATCTCTACTGCCTTGGTATAACTGATGACCTTGCAATATAATTTAAAATGCATAGGGACATTTCTTCTTTTGCACAACCCATGCTTTGTATAACTGAGAGCCTTACAATGTAACTTGAAATGTTTAAACTTCTTTAGCAACACATGATGTCACCCAACCCTCCAATCATATGCACCAAACCTTCCTATGTACCTCCCACTCACTTTTCCTTTAAAAACTGAAAACCCACTAGGCAGGGCTCTGACTGGGAGAGATCCCAGTCAGAAGTTCAACAGTGTAATAAACTGCCTCCTGACCATCCGGGTGCCATTTCTTCCCATGTTTGCTCTGTTTTCTCTAACAAGGTTACTCACTGGATATTTTGCAAGGACAAAAATTTAATACTGTAAAACTAAGATCATGTCTGACTTAATATAAAACTAAATAATTACTGATGGTGGCGACAATATTAAAGAGGTATTTGCTAAGCAATATGTTTGCTAAGTAAGTATATGGTTTATTCTAATAGTTCATTCTCTATATGGCTAATTTAAAAAAATATCATTCATACTTCAGGTCAAAGCTGAAATGCTGCCTTCTTTTCTCAGTACTTATATGGGCAAAACAGGCTATGAAGTAGTGTCCAAAAAAAGATGTTAATGTATGAATTGTTTTTTCCATACTAGAACCCACTAGTCAGCTTTAATTGCAATGTTGACACTTTGCAATAAATAAGTTTTGGGTTGCAGTTTGGGCCTTTCTTTTCTTTCTCTTTTTTTTTTTTTTTTTTTTTTTTTTCTGTACACTTGTTTCTAAAAGGTTTGTTATCACTGACTGGTACCAGGCATTAACCACATTTAAACTGGTATTTCTTACATTGCGTATTACATCAGACTATTTACATGTTACATATCCTAGAAACTGAGTCTTCTTATAATTCAGTAGAGGCCAACATATTGCATCCGTAACTACATATAATTGTTCAGCTCAAATTAGTTTCTGGCTTCTTTTGACATTGGTGGGTATTTGAACAGTATGTACACAGAGATTCAATGAACTACATACATGCTTGGTACGTGTAGGATCTACAATGACTATAATATACAAAAGGAATTATAAAGATTCTATAATTTTTAAAGACATTTAAAAAATAATAATAATTTAAAAAGCTCAAAACAGCAACTCATTCGGGACCCTCTTCTCTCTCAGGAGCTACTTCTATTCCCCATTGTTTTCCCTAATAAACTTTCCTGCTCCTACAAATAACAGTTGCAAAACCACAATGATCCCTCAGATGCTGTTAACACCTGATGGTGTTACAGGGAGCAGTTGAAAGAGCTACTTATTTTGTTTTAACAAAAGAAATAAATTTCAAGTCACATGAAATGACAAAAAAAGAGACAAGTTTATTGCAGATTAGTTAGGTTCTCAAAACATAGATTTTGTATTCAAAAGTTACACATAAAACCTTCTTTTGGCCCTATATGAAACTATGGCACCTATTTCTGAGTTTTGTTTTTAATCTTTTTAAAAGCTGCTTTACTTGAATATCTACTCAAGGCCAACAAAAACTTTTTAGACATCACCAGCCAGCTAAGTGATCTAGGATATCCAGAAGCTGTGTGATACAAAAGAAATTTGAGGTTGGGGAGATGGCTCAGTGGAATAAGCACTGGCCTGGCAAGCACAGGGGCTTCAGTGCAATCCCTGGTTCTGCCAAAAAAAAAAAAAAATTTTAAAAAAAAGGCCTGCCGACACTACAAAGTGAATTCAAGGCCAGGCTGAACTGCATAGTGAAACTCTGTCTCAAAAAGGCAAATAACTAATTAATTTAATTAGTTCTCATGAAACTAATTAAACTCTGTTCTCATGAAACCAAGAAAAGCCAAAAAGTTTCCATCTTTCATAATTATCAGTTAAATTATAAAGCTATCTCATGCTTTTTCTATTCTCCTTTGTATAAAATCACTGGAGATAACACAATTAATCCAAGAAGACACATCTGAAACGTTCAGAATTCAGTTATGGTACTACTTCTTCCTGGCCCAGGTTCGTTTTACAGTACCACACGCACCCTTTCCTTCACACTAAATTAGGTGCAACCCCATTAACACATCTGAATCTTCACAACAATGTTTGAAGCAGTCTTTAACAACAGTTTACAAGTGATAAAACTGCACAACTGACTTCTTCAAAGTCCCTGATTCAGCAAATGGCTAAAAACAACTGAGCTTTAATCAACCAGCAAGGGCGAAGAGTCTGGCTCTAGAACCTGGGCTGTAGCTCTCACAGCCTGTCTTCCTCGGGGTATCACCATAATGATGGTGGTGACGTGGATAAAGGGTGTTAATACACCTGCCTTTTCACTGAAAGGCTGTGGACCTCCTTACAAAACAATGAATAACTGTTAGCCAATCCATGAACTGTGACCCAAAAGGCAGTTTCTGTAGGTTGTAATCACACACTCACTACAGCACATGAATGAGTAACAGCAACATCTCTGGAAACGTCAGACTGAGCCCGAACATCCACCAACCTCACAGCACGCCGCTACTTTACCTGCGTGTTTACCAACAACTCCAGGACGGTAAAAGTAACGTGCCGTCGTGAAAACAATTCACAAACCTATTTCCAACATGCAAATTCCGTATTTTCCTTTCATACCGCCCACTTACTTGAACGTCAGCACACCATCGTCCCCGACTCGTGTTTTCAAAGTCATGTATTACACCGTCCTGGCTGCCCACAGTTTGTTTTTGAAAACAAAAGCGACTCGCCCAGTGCAGCTGGACTTTGAGACTTCGCAAAGGATGCGGTCTACGAGGTCTGCGCCACACCCGCCACCGGGGAGGGCAGCGGCTCCCCGGACCCCGCGCCCGGCTCCCTCGGCCGCCTCAGCCGCCCCAGGCCGAGCGCCGCCGCACCGACGCGGGCAGAGCTTGGGAAACTCAGGGAACCCAAAGTCGCGCTGCCGCCCAGGGGAGCGCCGGGGACAGCAGACTGGACTGGTGGCTCCGCCCCAAACAGGTAGCGCTTAAAAGGCTATAAAAATAACCTAAAGAGAAGTCTGCGGCGACGCTCACCCGGCGAACCGCAGCCCCTTCAGCCCGGGGCTCCGCGCTTCCCGCCGCCGACCAAGGGCGCGGGGTCAAAGGGCGGCGGGGGGGAAAGCGGCGAGCTGATTGGCCGGCGGGCTGGCACGCAGGCGCACTGTGGGCTGCGGGCCGCCGCCGCTATGTCACCGGGACCCCAGTTCCGGCGGCTCCTTGCCAGGCTGTGGGAGTCGGACCCCAGCTGGAACTCGGCTGGCCAAGCCGTGGCGACCCGGAATACGGAGAAAACCGAGAGCTGCAGAGCACGAATCGAGCCAACCAAAAGCTCAAACGCTGGCTCAAACCGTTTCCAAAAGGGGAGAGGGACCTGAGGGAGGCGCTCGCGAGGGGGTGGGCCCAGAGGGGCGGGACTGGCAAGGGGGCGGGGCTCACGAGGGGCGGGGGCGGGTACTCTCCGTTGTGCATCCCAGAACCTCTGGTGGGAAGGCCTAGAGGAAGGTGGTCGAAGCTGCAAGAGGTCACCCTCGTCTGTGTTGGAAGTTGACCTCAGAGGCTCAGCTGGGAAGACCTTACTTTCAGAGTTGAGAAACTGCAGCGTTTTGCCTCTTTTCTTTAAGTGGATCTGTTCCTGGAAGTCCAAGGTAGACAGATAAAGGTGACATTTGCAATTTGCAAATGTATTAAAAGACATATTTGTATTGAAATCACTTAGTACAAATAATAAAGTAAAAAACAAAACAATGAATGGAAGATCAAGAACTTTGGAAGTAGAAGTTACAGCTGGGCATTCCCGTCTTACATCAGCTCTAATGCCAAGAGAATTATGTTTTGTTTGGGTTGCCTAGTAACAAGGACACATTGACTCAGGCTAGACGTTATTGGTATGAACATATTCATGAATACTGTTCTGAAGCTCAACAAATTCTTTAAAACTAATTTAATATGCATGAATACAGTTTTATATTTGCACATTTTAAAGAACAATAAGAACATCCTACTATCCATTACAGATGTTAAGAAATAGAAAAATACCTGTATTGTCTTCTCCAAAGCACATCTTTCCTATTGCTGTTATGCTGAATTTTGTATTTCTCATTTCTTTACTTTTCTAAGATGTTGTATGTGTACAACCCCCTAAAAAATAGTCTTCATGGTTTTTTGTAAATGTATTTGTTCCATTCCTTTCCTACCAAACTTCTGTTTTTCACTGCACATTCATGATTTGAAATTCATCACTACACAAACCCATTTGACATCAATTAATGTGGTACGTCATGATCTGTAACATTTGCTAATGTCAAACTTTGATTGTTTTGCCTGGAAATAACTTTTTTTTCTTTCAATCTGCATTTTCCCTCTTGCTAATGGAAATTTGCTTTTTTTTTTCTGGTGTGTGTAGCCAACACAGCCCACCCTGGGGGCGGGGCTGGTGCAGCATGTGGTGACAGGTATCAAACCGTGGTTCCTGTGCTTGCCTAAGCTTGCCTAAGCAGGCACTTTAGACCACTGAGCTATGGCGCTGGCCTCTTGAATTTTGCATTTTTATGTACCTGTAGCTCTTATGGATTCTGAAAGACCTGCGCTCAATTTGGCCCATTTTTTTTATTGGACTTTGTCTTTTTGAAATTAATTTGGGAATAATTTATTTTCATCACTTAACTATTTGCTTACTAATTAGCATTAGAAATATCTTGTCTGAATTTGTGGATCGTCTTTTCACTTTTTATGATATGTTTTAATGATCAAAGCCTTTATATTTTAGGACTAATTGTTGGATTTGACATTTTAGATTGTAATTGCATGCTCTGTGCTTTATTTTTCAAAATTTTGCCAACCTGAGATTTTGAGCTAAATAGCACTTGTAAATAGTACTTTTCTTTTCACTTTTTAAATTGCATAATCATTTTTCTTGTGCATTATTATGACCTTCAGCACAGTGTTTAATGGAAGTAATGATGGATTTCTTATCCCTGATTTTTCTATAATGCTGTTCAACTTTTATCACTAAATACAATGTTGTTTTGTTTTTTTCCCTGTGGGATTTCAGTCTACTACTTTAGTGTCCTATTTCTGGTCACTGAATATTTCATTTATTCATTCATTCATTTATTCTTCCCAGGAGTGATTGTTTAATGATCTAATATTTTTTCTTCAACTGTTGAGGTGATTATTGTTTCCTATTCTAATATTATGGGGTGTATTGACAATTTTTTGTTGAATGAAAGAGAAGGCATTTCATTTTATAGTATATTAATGCATGCCCACTTGCATAAAGAAATGGGTGTTTATTACTGCCATTGTAAATAAATTAGGGTAAGTAGATTTTTATTGCATCTCTCTATGTGTCAGATTCATTGCACAGCAGTGTTTATGAACTAAATTGGGATTAGAGTAAATTTCCTGTTCTGTAACTGACTGCTCTGTTCATACTCTGCTACTGGACAGGAATATTGAGCTGGCATTGATATATTGTCCATATTCTTTTTTCACTCATTCCATGTAGCTTTTCCCTAATGTGTTTGTTTGTTTGTTTGTTTGTTTGTTTGTTTTATGGAACTGGGAATGAACTCAGGCCCTTGCACTTGCTAGGCAAGCACTTATTCTACTGAGCCATCTCCCCAGCCCCAAACTATTGTTTTGTTTGGTGAAGTTCTGTATCATTTTCTTTCTTTCTTTCTTTCTTTCTTTCTTTCTTTCTTTCTTTCTTTCTTTCTTTTTTTTCTTTCTTTCTTTCTTTTTATATCATTACTAATGTTTTTTTTTTCTTTTGTATTCTCTTTATTTTTTTGTTTATTATTGGTACTGGGGATCGAACTCAGGACCTTGTACTTGCCAAGCAGGCGCTTATACAACTGAGCTATTTCCCCCACCCCAGTGTGTTTTTGTGTACATTATTGTTTTTTTTCTACATCCTGGTAGGGTGTGGAACTCTGTTTTGTTCTGTATCACCTATGTAATATTCTTAAGTGCTTTATCTTGACATTATCATATCTATACTGGCCATAGCCACTACCAAATATTACCTATTTTTCATGTTTTGTTTTGCTTTGCTTTGTGTTATTTTGAGACAGGGACTCACTATGTAATGTAGGCTGGTCTCAAACTCACTGCGATCCTCCTGCCTCAGCCTCTTGAGTCCTAGAAATACTGGGGTGCATCACCACACTCAGCATCTCATGTGTTTAAAGTTATGTATAGAAGTAGTATGGGATTTGGTAGGTTTGTAAGTACTGATTAGAAAAGTGTCTAAGGTAACTGGCTAATTAGTACATTAATATTTACAGGAAAAGTCTACTTTTATAAATCTTAAATATATGTGTATCTAATACCATAAAAATCACAGGATGTTGCATTATGACCTGTACTAATCTAAGAAAAACAATCAATGCAGAATTTGGTTTTTTTTACTTTCTACTTGTTTCTTTCTCTCTTTTACTTTTATCTCTCTGTTTTCTGTCCATACACACTTACGGATTTTTTTATTTCTTTTAATTAAAAATATAGTACTAAAATTATATGCCTTTGTTCTAACAGATAAATTCCTAGAAGGAAATAGGGTTGCATATGAATTGCATTTTAAATGTGTTATATCAAGGATGACCAGTAACGAAGAATGCAAAGAAAAATTAATCATAAAAGGAAAGAGGAATTATTTTCACACAGTAATTATCATAGCCCTTAGTTTTACAAAAATATCATTGATTGTTATACAGCTGATACCCACAGAATCATTTATCTTACCTTGCTACTAAAAATACAGCAGCCACTTGTTGTTGTTACCACTACTAATACTGGTCTTAGTAATGGAGAGCTTTCTTTTTTCCCCCTTGACCTAGGAAATTTGATGATCCCTTCAACAATCTTTTTCTTGCCTCTACTTCAGCGGATCTTCCTTTCTGTCTCCTGAATATTTTGTGTTTTCATTCCTGTGGTCCTAAAAGTTTCATTAGAGCTTAGACATAACATGCTCATCTTATCCTTTGTTCAAGACCCTGTCACATAAGAATTGAATTATTTTCCATACCTTCATTAATTTGTAAAGTTCTTGTTAGAAACTATATCTGGAAAAGCTTAGCACAAATACACAACAGGAAAAGTTATAAAGTAAAACATGAAGAGTATTAGGGAATGACAATGTCTAGGAGACAAAAGAGGCTAGGACATTGGGTACATAGCCTTAGACAGTGGTACTGATTAAAGCACTGATGTGTGCGGGCTGCACTGAGCTCTCAATATTATGCACATTAGCATAAATAATTTCTTAACTCTGCTTGCATTGTCTACCTCCTTTCCTCAAAATTCAAAATTTTGATTGAGGTAGTCTGATTCCCTAAGCCTATGCCACAGGCTGCTTATCTTCAAGTATAAACTATCCCCTGTGGCTTGTTTAATGGCCGATAAGACACAAAACATATATCATTCTCTCAAAATCAGGATTTATTTTAGATCATAAGTATCAATAAAACAGCACAAACAAAACTAAATGAATGAAAAAATATAAACAAAAGTGTAGTTAGATTTACAGCATGTCTTGATATCCATGTTAAGTTTGCTTTTTCCATGGTTTTTCTACTAGATACTAATTTTTAATCTCAATTACATTTGCAGTTCCATTAATTAAATTGTCCTTTATATCACATCTTGACTTACTCAAGTATAGCTAGTGTTATAGTGTCCTATAACAGTTTGACATTCAGATATGACTCTAAATCCCCTGGGTAAAACACAAAAGCCTCTACCTGCTTTTAGCAGCTCTCTTCTCCCTAATGTCCTAATCCTTTTAACATATGCTACCACCACCCCCACCCCAAGATCAGAATACCGTTCCCATTCTGATGGCATGAAAATGAGTATAACTTCACATGTGTAAATTCATGCACTGTGGCACTGATCAGAGAAACCATCCTTGCATGGCCATGACTCAAGTTAGAAGTATTGTAAATTCACTTGATCTTTGAGTGACTACAAGTGGTTTGGTGCTTCTCAGCACTAACACACACTCCAGATTAAACCCAGTGTAGGTAATTCCCAATTAAACAGGTCAGTTCCTCAAGTGAAAATTCACATTTCACTGGTCCAAGTATTTTCCAATATCATAGCAGTCCAAAACCTAGAGATAAAAGAGGGTTCCAGGATAATTTCCTTTCCCTAGCCGAATGACAGGAATCCCATAGACATGTAGTACTGTCAAAACAATGGAAAAGAATCACTCCTCATACCTCATTGACTGACACAAATATCAATATACTCTTCCATTTTTATGGACATGAGACTATGGGGACCCTCCTTAAAACTCCAGCACAAGGACTCCATCTCAAAAGCTTTAAACTTAATTTTATAT